ATATGATATAAGAGTTAATTTTTATATTTGCATATATATATACATATATACTTTTTATATTTACCATAGGATACCCCTGTTGAGGTGAAGGACTTTTAGCACCTCCATGCCGAATGGGGCTGTTACCCAAATGATGTTTTGGAAAATACTCATTTATTTTTTTATTTTCAAGAGCAGCAACAGATCTAGACCCCTTACTTCCTACAGGTCCTCCGGTAACTCCCCCACCTCCATCATCAGCTTTACGTTTCCTTTTTCTTTCTGAAGGAGTTCTGGGTATTTTTTCTGGAGTATTTGGATCTACCTCCTTATCACTATGTGATGAGCCTGCAATTATATCAAAATAATTATAATTATAAAATAACATTTTAGCAATTCTTAGGTTAATTATTAAATAAACATTTTTTATTGTTAAATAAAATAAAAATATATTAACTTACCAGTGCTCATGTTCGAGTCTTGACTATGAACTGACTGACCAGAGTTTACAGTTGATTGAGGTGCCATCTGAATTTGTGACCCAGCAGACATCTGAAATAAAAAAAAGAGAAAAAAATGTTGATATAAAATAATTAGAATATACCTTTTTGCAAATATTTTAACAAAATAGGAAAAAGATCATTATGATATTAAATTAAACTAACACTTATTAAAATGTTATAATACAGAAAATAAATATTATGTCGCACAATTATTTATATCACAAAATTTAATACAAGCTTGATAGAAGAAACAACATGGAGAAAAATATCGCAACGCGAATCAAGACTCGTTACTTTTGGTAGAGGTTACACTTCGAAAATGATACCGGCGTACAATATACTAGGTAATAAAAATCGCATGTTATTAAGACACAATTTATTATACAGAAGGAAACTTAGAATAGAGAAAGACTAATAAGAAAAAAAGAAAAACAAAGGACGTGCAAGGGAGAAAGAAGTAGGTTCAATAGGAAATGAAAAGAGAAAGAATGAGAATGAAAAAGACAGTACAGGAGAGAAAGAGAGAGAAGTGACACCTTCCAGGATAGCCTATGGTGGAGCCCCATAGTCGTATTTGCTATTTGAGCTAATAGACAGTATGTCAACCATAGGCACGGTTTCGCGCACAATTTGTATGTAAATGTCAATAGCACAGTATGAACAAAATGTGCAATATATGTTTAGAGCTAGAGGAATCACGACAAAATGGAGGACCCTAACAGAGGGGAACGACGGAAGGGCAGGGAGTTACGGAGCTATAGAAGAGGTAAGAGGAAAGGCGATGGAAAATGGAGAGGGGGTGGAAGTAGAGAAACAGAGAGAATGGGAGATAGAGAAGGGGGGTAGGACGTAAGAACTCGATGGCAGAGGAGTGGTTAGATTGGGAACCACGGACGCGCTCCGCAAGGGGGCAGTTTTACTCACTGTTTCACATCTGAACTCTGGTCAGGTCGGATAGTTAACTGGCTTTCCTATCGTACATAGTTTTCTATATACGCACCAAATGCAACCGCTGTGCAAACTGCTTTCAATGAACAACAAAGATAATCACGACGACACACTACGTCATTCGATTTGTGACGTCGATTCTCCGATAAATTACGCACTCTTATTATTATTATCAGCGGCGTGTCAGCCACGTTTACTCCGCGCGCGGTTAAGAACCCGGATTAATGGTAAGTTCTCATGGACGCGGTCACGCGTTTGCGCGTTTGCCAGGCGGAACGCACACGTTCGAATTCCACGCTCTGTCACTGACATGCACACGTTATTATGATTAAAAGTATCGCTACTATAAAGCATTATAAATATAGATGAATCGTTATAATGTTGCATTCCTGTCATCTTCATTTTTTTCGTGTATAAGTTTGTATTTCATATTTCATTGAAGTTTCAATTGTATTAATAGATATTCATATATTATTCAATTTTATTACATTCATGATAATTTTACATGAGGATTTGAATATATATTTCTATTTATAATATATCAGCAAAATGATTGTAAAATGATTATGAATATGTTTGATATTACAATATATGTATATTATATTATATATTTATATTATATATAATGTGTATGTATGCGCGCGCGTGTATGTATTTAATGATATAAAGAAAATATAGTAAAAAAAGAGAAAGAGAAGCATTTTATTTTTATTATTTTAAATTTAATGAAAATGAAAAAAAAGAACTTGATATTTCAAAAATATAAACAGAACAATAATAACAAAACATTCGATTAATCTTAAACATTTAGATTAAATGAAATATATTGATTCTGATATATATAATCATTAAATTATATATATATAAAAAATTTAAAAATGAATTTGATATAAAATATTACGATATCAAATTAAGCATTATCATATAGAATTAAGATAAAAATAAAAACAATAAAAATGTAAATGTATTTTAATACAAAATATGTGAGAATAATGCTTATTTTTGAATTCAAATTTATATACACACAAATACACACTTAAATTATTAATAAATAAATAAAAATATATAATTAATAAGTCATTTTTATATAACAATGGAAGTGTGTATAAAAATTTATGTTCATTATATACTTTTATTTCCTCACAAATCTTAAAAAATAGAAATAAAAAAAAATAGAATGAAAATTCAATTTATAAATTATAGATTAAAAATACAAAAATTTACATCTATTGTACTATAGAAAATTGATATTTAAGTCAAAACGAATAATGAATTACAAAAGCAAGAGGATTTTGTAGCTTACGAATGATTCGTTTCACTTTCTTGCATTTTACTGAACATGTCAGCAATTCAACAAAGAATAGGAAACTTCCTTATCGATGGATCAATGTCTGTGCCCGGAACTGGGCTAGAGGGCCGGGGAATCGTTTCTCCGGCAGCGATTTGCTTTAAGTAAGCTTTGCTATGTGCGCTTGCGTTAGTGTGCGTAGGCAAGGAGGTTACATGGGAAGTAGTAACATATACGAACCCAGTGAATCGGGACATGCGGATTTTACAGAACACTCCTCTATTCCTCACGACTTGATCCTTTTATGACCATAATCATAAAGTGATATTACACGATCCAAACGGCACACGTAAGCTATCCTTTTGAACACTCACGAACTTGGTTCACTTCGTATCTTCTTCAACTATGCAGTTCCACTTGTAAAAGCGGCGTGCAGTTAGCGCGCCGGGTAAACAGCAACAGCACCAGCAGCATCGAGTGCCGTCAATGGCCACGATAAACGGCATTACGCGTACGTTACACGGGCCACGAGCGAGCCAAAAACCCGGCGTAGTCTCGCCTAATCGAAACGGAACTGGAACTGTCCGACTACCGTACTGTTCGCATACTACTACCTAGCGAAGGTTTTCTTTCTCTCTTTCTTAGGTGCTCTCACACTCCCTCTTTCCTTGCCTCTCTTCTCCTCTCCTATGTACAGCAAATGAGCAACGCGCGAGATTCCGAGATGCGGCAAAAGGTGCAACCTCCACCTCCCCGCGACGGCGCTACTGCCCAACGATCACAACAGACAGTAAAGAGAGAAAGAGAGAAATTGTGAAAGTGTGAGAGAGAAATCAAGAGAGATCGAGAGACCTATGAGAGGAAGCACTGAGGAGGGGGAGGGAAAGAAGAAGGGGAGGAGGAGGAGAGGGCAAGCAGAAGTTGGCGAGCTTGGTAGAAAGAGATGGAAGACAAGTTTTTAGAAAGAGAGCTAACTGAGTGACAGAGAGGTTTGTAGGAGTAGGGTTAGGAGAAGTAAAGGGGAGGAAAAGGGAGTCGGAGGGAGGCATATGAGACATTCCTTCAGTGAACGGGTCGACCGAGTGTGAGTGCAAGCGAGCCGGTAAAATCGATGTGGCGAAGTGTAGCTGTGCCACTACGGCGTGCAAAGGGTGTGCTGTACCTTATACGTGGATCAGTAATTTGCTTTGTGATGTTATGTCATAGAGTCAAATACTACAATAATTAATTAAATTTTATACATCAATAAATATATGATAAATGTAATAAATGCCTAATATACAATAAAATGAAATCCTTTTCTAGAATAATATATTCATATGTTTTAATTTTTAAATAAAATGTTAAAATTAACTAAAGCGTATTATTATATTATACACGTTAATAATTATTGGGATATAATTTTTGTGAATATTAACAACATTCTTATTTATTATATATAAATATTACATATATATCACTCATTTATTCCTTTTCTTTGTTTATTTAATTATAGATATTTATTTTTATGATAGATATATTTATAATAAAAATTATAGAATTATTTTTTCAAGAAAATATTTTATAATTATGAATTTGGAAAATATTTATAAATTTTTCGGAATATCATATAAACAATTAATTTCTAATAATAAACAAAATATAGGTATGTAATATCGATCTAATTAATAACATTAACAAAAGTACATACCCAGTATGTATGTATAAACTTGTCGATGTACGTATGAAGTTAGCTGCAGCATTATTTTATTTCGTAGGATTTTATACTGACTTGCATAGTCGTGTAAAACATTGTATATCGAGAATGGCACCTGTCTTAGAATTGAAAGACAGAGCGCCCTCACAACGATTCTACTAGTTACGTTCCTGGAATACGCCGTGCCGACGTGTGTTCCAACCAGTGCGAGGGCGTATTACCGAGATGTAGTCCTAGTGGAGGGGATTGAAAGAACCAAGCGTACGTATGAAACGACGACTCGACGAACATAACTGGTCAGACCGGCGGGCTGGCAAGAGCATATATCATCGTTTCTTACTATTCGCGTTTTAACAGTGTTAATAGTGTAATTAAACATTTTTATCAGTGTTCATGTTTCTCAGTGTTTAAGTTTTTTACTTTTTCCATTTTGATCAATTAATTAGCCACATTTAAATATATTGTTAATATAATTCGTTAATTAAAAATTATTATGAAATCTCATTCCTTGTAAAGAAATGTTTTTAAACAATTTTATATTTACGCATTTGTATATCCTGTAAACATAATTTTTCTTTCCCAATGTATATTTTTTTTTAATATATTATTAATTATTATATGTAATTACGATATATATATATATATATATATATATATATATTAAATATTTTACTTGATATTGTGATTAAGATTTATATCACTTTTACTAGATTTCCGAATTTTAATTACGGAATATTGAAGTGTAGAAAAAATTATTAAATAGTGTTAGCGTTCATACGTGCTTTCAATTTTTGACGGGATAAGTGAACAAAATGACGGAATAGTAGTAAGTATGTATGTACATTTTATACTATCGATGCGATATTCAAGTAAAGAGCAACGTTGCAATATGTATTTCGAATGCTGTGACAACATCGCATTAACAGTTTTTTCCATTTTTTAACGATACTATATATCGAATATATAATTTCAGTATATTTTCTTAATGTAATGCGAACATATATTTAAAAATAAAATTTATCAAAATTTAAAATATAGAATTGATAGTAATAAAATTTATGCTAGAAATTTTTTTCATTAAATGTTTAGATTTAATTAATAAATTTTATAATGAAAATGTTAAAAATTTATTGAAGAATTCATAGAATATTTCAATACGATACAATGATAATGAAAAAGTGATATATTTTTCAAATATGCTTCGAATATGTTTCATTTTATCATATTATTATTTATAAAATACAAAATATTTGTTACAAGCATTGTTACGAAAAATTTGTGTATATTAAGTAATTCTTTGTTAAAGATTTTTTTAATATAATATATATCTTTAATCTTAATATATGTGCGCGCGCGCGTGTGAATATATGTGGCGTGTGAGTGTATAATAAATGTGTTAAAATAAATATAAACATGAAAAGTGGGAAAGAGATCAAGAACACATTAAAATAAAAAATAAAGTGAAGGTGAATATGTACATGTTTAGCTCCTAGACCTTGCAATGCCATTCGATTGTAGAGAACAGTGGCGACAACAGCCACCAACGTTCGACGTGACGGCAACACAGCAATCACTACCCCTACTCCTTTCATGGAAGGGATCACTGTTTCCCCTCCATGTGTTGCCTTATCCCCCTCCAATGAACTCCCAATAGGTCGCACGCTCATTAGCCCAGTCGCGCACGATTCTCCCCCTCTGCCCCGTGCAGTCGCATGTCTCCGACCGATCAGCTGGTCGGCCACGCGGCGTTGCCTCGTTGCCTTGGCTTGCGCTCTGCTCACTGTTCATAGCCACGCGGTTTTCTGTGTACACCGTTTCAGGAAAAGTTAGGTACGATCCGGTACTCCGTGTAAACGGCGTGTGCGCATTGCACATTGCATTACGAATTCTCTTCATTTTGCCCAAGTTAAGATATTCTTATAAATATAGCATAATCATTATCTCATGTCAAAAATTTTAATTAATTTTCTTTTTAATACAAGCTCGATTCTTTTAACTTTTTAAATTTTTTTTTAAATTTGTTTTTCATACTTTTTATTCTAAAAGTACATGCATATGTATATCATTATATGTATTAGATTTATATACGAATATGTTACGTTTTTTATTGTTTTCTGTAAGTTTCGCTCATTTATTTTATTTTATCATTTATTTTATATATAATCCAAAATCAATGTTTTATTGCATATAAGTATATATATTTTTTATATGACAGTTCATATAATATTATATAATATTTTTCAATTATAATAAATTTCACTTTCATCAGTCACAATTTCATTAATTCTGCAATGAAATTGAATTTTTGAATTATTAAATACATAACACTAAGGTTTTTAATTGACAGATAATAATTTTAGTTGCGATTTTAGTTGCAATAAATTTGATTGAAAAAATTTTTAGGAGAATAATTAAAATCCGAATTAGTTTTTGTTTTTTAAAGATTCATAATTTATTAACTTTATTATTATTTAAATAACTATTAGATGGCTAAATTTAATAATATCTATATTAAAGTTATATTTTATTTGATATAGAAATTCAAATATTTATATTTATTATAAACTTACTTTTTTTTTATTAAGAAAATAAAAAATAGTAAAAATAGAAAAATAATAAATATATATTACGAATTATATTATTAAATTTAAGCTGAAGCAATTTGTCGAGAAATGAATAAATATATTATGTCTATAAATTAAATGAATATGAAAATAATTATATGGCTATATTTTTTAATTTCTACGATAGATCAACGTGGCAAACAGTAAAATAGGTAAGTCTTTTTTCCGAATTTCTTGAAATTAATGCCAGTTTAGATATAAAAGCATCATAAATCATTTTAGAAAGATTTTCTATATATTATTTTGATAATTAAGATGAATAATAATATATTGTGGCAAATATTGAAATAAGAATATAACGATGAGAGAAAAAAATTTAAAAGAAAAAAAATTTTCACGAAAGTTTATAGTTTTTATATGAATATGTGTGTGCATGTATATGTGTGAAATTACCGTTCTAAATGTGAGGATTATCAATATTCACTGAAATATTCACTGTTAAACTGTAATAAATAATATATCATGCATGATAATGAAAGTTAATATTTTTAAGACATACACATATTCGATCTCTCTTTTCTCGTTTCTTATTTCTGAAATATCTTTTCTATTTTGCAAATATTTACTATAAAACTAGATTTGTAAATTATTTATTAATTTTTTTCAATATTATCGCATAATATCGATTTTATCGAAAATTTAAAATTTAGAAAACGAAAGTTATTGAAATTTCATTGGTATAATATATGTATTTCTCTACTATTTCAAAAGAAATGTTATTTTTGAT